CTATTTTCTTTCTGGTCCAGGAGGAGGGTGGATTAGGGATAAAGATGACATGTTGAGTAATGGATTTGGTATCAAAAGCTCTGAGCTTATCACCTTGCTTGCCACTGGCCCAATGTGTCACCCTGGAGCCTCCGTTTGCCCATCTGTACAAATGGGTAGGCCTAAGTGGAGCAAACTCCAGCCAGGCCAGGCTGCCATCCAAGCCCAGTCTTCGCACAGCATGGCTGTGAGTCTCCCCAGAGGTAAGAGGCCAAAGGGCTCTGGCAACGAGCTCTGAGGGGGCCTCCATCCCACTGTCATCCTTGCCCCAGTGGCAGCGGCAGCACAGGGCCACCTGCTGCCTAGAGGCCGAGGCGCCACCTCATCCGAAGCCGGGAGCAGAGAAAGTGGTGTGTGTGACTTCGGCTTCCCCTGAGAGCCAGGCCAGTTCCTGCCCAGGGAAAGATACTTCCTCTCGGGAACAGGAATGAGGTCAGCTGGAGTCCTCGAGTCTGGGAAGGAAACCCAAGTTCAAGGAGGACATCTGTTTCTTGAGGAAACCCAGGCCAGGCAGGGCCATCAGAGCAGAGGAACATATATGCCTTGGTTGAGCTTCCAGCATGTTGTGGACAGAGCTGCCCCCTGCCTGACTCCTTTCACTCAGTCAGCAGCTGGGTGTGGAGCCCCTGCTCTGGGCAGGCACAGCCCCAGGTGCTGGAGAGCAAACACAGAGACCTGCGTGGAGCTCAAATGGAGACGGGGAAGCCACGGCAACCAAAGAGTATACTATATTTATATGCTATCAAGACAAAGTGGGTTGGGGGTTAAGAAATGAGAGGACACTTTTAGAAAGAGTGGTCAGGACAGGCTTCTCTCAGGAGGGGACATCTGAGCAGAGACACAAAGGAAGAGACAGTGTTGGAGCAAGTCAACTGGGGAGAGAAGTTTCTGGGCACAGGGAGCAGTAAGTGCAAAGGCCCTGAGGCGGGTGCCTGCTCAACGTATTCTTGGAATATGAAGAAGATGAGTATGGCCGGAGTGGAGTGAGCCAGGGGAGAAGGGGTAGGCAAGGTCAGAGAGGGGGTAGTGGGCAAGATCACAAGCAGCCTTATAAGCCACATTGAGAACTTTGGGGTTTATTCCAAGAGATGAGACACAAGGATATTGGAGGTTTTGACTGAAGGAGGGATTAGACGAGAAGTCCAATGAGGAGACAGGAAACCAGTGAGGAGGTGGGTGCACTAGTCCTGGTGAGAGATGGAGGTGGGAGGGACCAGAGGGTGGTAGAGGTGGTAAGCAGTGGTCAGATTCCAGGTCTATTTTGAAGGTAGAACCAAGAGGATTGGCTGGCAGGACCGTGAAGGGGAGGCAGAGAAAGAGAGGGCTCAAGGAAGACATGAAGGTATTTTGCCTGAGCATCTGCCTGAGCGGAACCTGAGCGGAACTGAGGTGGAGAAGACCGGACAGAGGCAGATACCAAACATGGTTCTCACTGCTGTTTGCGCTCTCGCTGGCTCTGTCCCTTTCTCCCTCCCTCACTCCCCTTTTATCCATTAATCCTGCCCTCAACCTATTTCCAGATGAGAAAACTGAGGCTGAGACCCCGCTAAGATCACACAGCTAGCGAGGGACAGAACCTGGAGTTGAAATCACATCTCTCAGCCACTCAACGGTATTGTCCCATCACAGCTGGAAAGAGTTGGACTCATCTGCTCAGTCATTATTTCACTCAGTAGATATTTTCATGCCTGCAACACATCAGCAGACCCCATCCTCAGCACCACAGAGGGGTCTGGCAGTCAAAAAGCCCCTGGGTGGTGATGGAGACCTAGTGGGGCGTCCAGGCTCACAGCAAAAGAGAAGTCAGAACATGCCAAGGTTTGGAGGTTAGGGGAATGAGAACTCTTGGATTCAAAGCCTAACTCTGCGACTCACAAGCTGCGTGCTTTCACACAAGCCCCTTACACTCGCTGTGTCTCATTCTTCTCATCTATGAAATGGGGATAAGAATTATGTCCACATAAGAGAATCAGAGTGTGGAACATGAGAGAACCCGCTGGAATCCTTCAAGCCTACAGTAAGCAGTTCTACATTTAAGCTATGATTAGTGTTATCACAGGGCAGAGTCAGCACTTGACCTCAGGTCCCCCAGTGCAAGCTGAGGCAATCAACTCTGTCCTGATGCCACCCTTGCATCGCCACCCTGCAGGGGACCCCCACCCAGAGGTGTCGAGGGAGGCTGGGCTCTACACAGCTGGGTTCAGCTCCAGACAGAGCCAGATCCCCAGAGCCTGAGAACAGTGTTTAGGGCCTGACAGCGCGGTCCCACCCCTGATGAGCTCAGGCGAGCTGCCTGCCTGCCTGCCAAGTTGCTTAGTCACTGACTTCCCCTGGAAAGCACTGATTACAGTGTGGCTCCCCAGGCCCTGGTTCTGTGACCTGTCACAGCCCCTCAGCTTTGGGGCACTAGCTGCAGCCTCTGAACCACTGCTCCTGCCCCCTCTGCTTTCTCCTGGGTGGGGAGGACAGAAAACAAAAAGATAGTCAGACTACAGGCTGGCCAACCCCAAGTTGAGACTGGGCGCACGAAACAATCCCAGCAGTCTATTCAGGGCTTCTCAAAGTGTGGTCCCCGGACCAGCATCACCAACCTTACCTGGGGTTTTCTTAGAAATGCAAATTCTCAGATCTTACCCAAGATCTACTGAATCTGAAAATCTGGGGGTGGAGCCCTGGGATCTGTGTTTTAACACTCCGTCCAGGTGATGGTATCTGCTCAGCTGGAGAACCACAGCTCTGATCTCTGGGCAGCTGTGGCGGGGAGGTGGAGGCTGTGGAGAGGTGATTTTAAAGCAGGCTGCATGGAGGTGCAGCCCCAGAGAAACCTGTCTTCAAATCCAGGCTCTGCCGATGTCTTACTGTGTGATCTTGGGCAGGTCACTTCTGAAATTAAAAACATATTTATTAATAACCTACTGTTTACTGTTAAGGCCCTGGGCCTGCAACAGCCAACATCTTTTCCCAGATTAACTCATTGAACCTTTACAAGGACCTTCCAGGTCTGGTTCTAGCTATCCCTGAATCTGGGCAAGCGAGACACAGATGGGCAGAGGAACTTGCCCCATGGCTGGCCTGAGAGCAGCACTGGGGTTGGAGCCAGAGGATGTGCTCCCAGGGCCAGGCACTGGGCCATGAGGCTAGGCCGGCCTGTAGCTAGTTAAGGAGATGGACAAAATGCAGCGAAGACACACAGCCCAGCAGGTCGGGATGCACAGGATGAAGATGAGAGAAAGCAGGGAAGGAGACTGAGCGCACTGGAGTAGGGTGAGGTGACGACTTTAACCAGGAGGTCTGGCAAGGTGACCTGTGAGCAGAGACCCCTCTAAGGCAGCTTAGAGGAATTACTAGTACCCCTCCTGGGTGTGGTACAAATACGGCACAAAACACGCTTATAAAGCACAGTCAATGCAGAGCAAATGCAAACTGCTATTATCTGGAGAACTGAGTTTGAATCCGAACTGGCTCAGCCACTCACCAGCTGTGTGTCCCGTGTCCCGGGCAAGTCAGCTCATCCCTCTGAACATCAGTTTCTGGAGCTATGCAATGGCTGCATGAGCCCTGCAGGTGACCCACCTGCGGGTCAGGGACCGGGGCAGGGCACAGTGAGGACCACCCTCCTCTGGCCCCCACCCGCTTCTCTCCAGCCCGGCAGCAGCTCCTCTCCTGGCCCGCGGGTTCCCTGGTCCAGGCTGCCCAGGAGTCCTTGCTGTTTTTATTTTTATTGTTTGGCTCCACAGCTGAGGCCTCCAACTCCAAATGGTTCCTCTTGCCCAGAAAAATAGGTCGTTGGCAGCTCCGGCCTCCTGACAGGCCCCACACAAAGGCGGCTGGCGGGCCTGCCTGCTGACGCCAGCCCAGCCCTGGTGACGGGAAGTGAGGAGCCGAGAGGGCTGGGCTGGCGCCCGCAGAGCTGCGTCCCTGCAGGTCCCGGCATGCCCTGGCAGGGTGACCCTGGTCCAGTCGCCTTCTGTCCTTAGGTTTATTTTCTCACTTCTGGGGACACAGTGGAGTTACTGAGGCTTGGACGAGATGATCCCTGGAGAGGGGCCTGGGACAACCAGGGACGCCATCTCCCCACCTGTGGCGGCAAACTCTAGATGTGCTCCCACCACGGTTGCTTTCACATCTGTGCCACCACCGACCCCCTGATCAGGGTAGACCTTGTTATTCCCATTCCACAGGTGAAGAGACTGAGGCTCATAAAAATATTTTTTCCCCAAGTCACGTAAGTCAAATCGGCTCTCTTGGCTTCAAGGCCCTAATCCTCCCAGCCTCGCACTCACTCAAGTCTTCTTTCCAGCCAAGACTCTGGACAACAGGGGAGGGATGAGGCCTGACTTCTTTCAAAGGGTCCCTCTGGCTGCTGAGTGGAGAATAGACAAAGCTGGGAAGAGCGTGCCCAGGTGGGAGATGGTGGAGGCTCAGACCCAGGCAGGGGAGGGGCTGTGGAGTGCTTTGGTTCTGGATGTGGAGGGACGGTCCAGCTGGGGAATGTGCTGACAGGTTACACCAGGGAGTAACAAAGATTCGAGGACCAATGCCTGGATGGAGCCGCCCCTCCATCAGCCCTGGGCCCCTTCCCTTCTTTATTTACCCCGTAGCCTATTCCCATCCCATGACAGACTATTCTACATACTGACTTAGTTTGCCTTCACTAGAATGTCAGTTCCCTGGGGCAGCGTTTTTGTCTGTTTTTTCCGACTGCTGCATCACCAGTGCCCAGCACACAGCAGATGCACAAGTGCATGAATGGCTGGGATAGGTATGGAGGCTTTGATATGAGTCCAGGGCAGCCCAGGATGCCGCCTATGGAGGTGGTTGATTCACCTCAGTTACCTGCCATAATCTGCCTGTGTGACCTCAGGCAAATTGTCCCCCAACCTCAGCATAACCAGCTGCCCATTGGTCTCAATGACCTCCCAAGTCAGCCAAGCATGACTTTTATGTGGACACTGGGTCAGGAGAACAAGGCCCACGGCCCCATCCTGGGGTGGAGGTGAGGGTGTTGGGAAGCCTGGCTGGCCGAAAGTGCTATATATAAATAGCTGGTTCCATTATTATCCTCCCCTAATCCGCAGTTTCCTAATCCCAGGCAGGTTTGTGTGTGTGTGTGTGTGTGTGTGTGTGTGTGTCTCCGT